TAAGATTTTAGATGTTTTCCTTAAGTTGAGGATATCACACGACAGGGAAAAGTTTGTAAATTTATGATTCGAGGTTCGCAAAAAGATACAAAATTACTTGTATTAGTAGAACAAAAGGTTTTTATACAGTGCACTTGTGATTTATATCTGTGGGAGTGGATTTTAAGAAGATGAGCCTAATTTAGTCTCGTGTCTTGAAGTGAAGACTTAGTTTGTGAGCTCCTAAGCATTTGGACATGGGAGCTCTCTCCCCCCTATTGTCCAATAGGGTAACAATGGTATCAAAGGAGTCACCCTTTTGTATTGGACTCTTGTTTCTGAAGGAGCAAACTGGTGAAGTTTGTTTCTAGTTGAAGGCTAGGTGTGGAAAATCACGTAGTTGTGAGTAAGGGTTACCGTGGAAGTCGTTTTTGGATTGTGGAGTGGATTGTGAGGATCCTAATTGGGTCCCACATTATTAAGCCCCTGTTTGACAACCATTAAATCACCTCTTTTTTTCTTAAATTTATTTTCAACTACAAATTCCCACAATAAAATACTCTGCATGTAAATCAAAAAAAAATTTCTTAATTTTTAACCACATATTCTCTACTCCAAAACTCATTTTCCCAAAAAGCTCATTTTAAGGGTTGTCAAACATGGGCTAAATAAGGCTCAATTTATGGGCTATAAGAACTTGGGTGATCTCTTCTATTAATGGTGAGTTCTATCCGATGTCATTGACAACTGCATCGGTGAAATGGCCATTGTTTGTTGGTCTCAAGTGAGATGGGAGTGCGGTGGAGGGTGAGAGGACTAAGAGTTACCAGTGTATCTTAAAAACAATTGGAATGGCAACCCGCAATTAAGTTGTTAACATTATTGGAAAAATGGATATATTGACTTTGTGATTATTGTGTTCTACAGGAAGTTTAGGAGAAAGATTATTTATCTGCAAAATTGAGTGGAATTGTTAGTTTGAGACTTCTATTTCTGCATTCATCTTAAGTGCTTGGACTTTTTTGAAAGTGATCGGACCTTCCAATGTATTGAAATTTTTAGATGTATATGCAATGCGATTATGCATGATTGTGGTTAAATGAATAATAATGAAGAAAATCTCTATCATCATGGTTGACTAGGAGTCTACATTTTTGTGGAGAAAAAAGTAGTGATTTCATGGTTGGATTTTGCTCCAAAGTTGGGACATTTGTTCTGGAATTAACAGAATTTTCTGCACGATGCTCATATAATAATCTGCACTTTCTCATTTGTACTCTTGCGATCATTTTGTAAATATAAAATGCTGCAATGGTTAGAAACATCTTTTGCAAATTTCTTTCCCTACCAAATAGTTTGCTGCCTTTTATCTCCCGTTTACAATCCTCTCTGTCAACTTTCATGAAATCAGAGTCAAAGATCTGATTGTCATGAATCCGCTGTTCAGCTGATAAACAGCATTATCCCACTCTCACGCTTGAAGGATTTAACAATGACATGCATCTCAATGATAAATCGCACCACCTTTGATTGTAAACCCCCTTTTCAACTGTACTTAAGCTTGTAATTTTTTTATATAAATACAAAAATAATCCTAGAGTTTCGTAGTAATTGACAATTCGAGATTCTTTGCATAATGCCCTTCTTTTAACTTGTACTGTTTATAATTTAAGGAAAAAAGTTGGTGAGTCTATTCTTCTCAATATGGCATCATTTTGATAATTGGTAGTACTTTCCTCAAGCAAAACTCTCCAGTCCCCATCGTTGTTCTCACTCAAAGTTTGTTATTGCAAGCCACAATTCACCCTGAGCAGCTTTTTAGCAAACCATTCCTGTTAAAACATCACCTTCACCATTGCCAAATATAGATAAGCCGATTGTTGTTACACAAATACCTCTCTACTTGATCATAAATGGACATTTTCCCATATTGTCCTGTAACATTGTGCTGGATTTCACTTTGTTTCTGGATGAGTATGTTTATCATATACTTGAGGGGGTAAATTCAGATATTGACTTGAGATTTTGAAACAAGGGTAGCAGGTTGCCAGTTCCCCTTATTTTTGACTGGAAGGAAGTTGATGTGTTTTCCATGGTTGTGACAAGATATAGGCATAGTTGAAGGCTTATTATAGGATCTATAGCATTGTATTATACGAGCCTCATCTATTAAAACTCATATTGGCTTTGCATATATATGGAGCTCACGTCTTTAAAGGCTATCTATACAGAGATGGAAATAGTACATATTTCTAATATGATACCTTGTCCAAGGAAGAGTGCTTGCAAACCAATGTGATTTCCTTTAAATTCAAAATTTTGAAACTTTGTTTGAGCAGCTAGAAAGCTGTGGGTACACTGCCTTCCAGGAAAAGTGGTAAAGGAAATAGAAAATTCCTGTCCTCTATATTTTGGTGGAAAGCAAAAAATTAAAAAACTCTGAAAGTGAATCGTAGTTACTCAAGTTACAAGAAAAGTTGTATTTTCAGTGAAGTGTTCTGCACAATGCTCCTCTTGGAAAAATGCAGGAAAAATTTAGAACAGCTTTCTCGCATTTCTTTCCTTTTTCTTAACCAAATTTGTACAGAAGGGATGTTCAGTTTTTTCTGAAGTGAATTTATGAAGTTGGTGACGTTGAATGGCTGAATGGGAATCCATAGTTCACGTATATATTGTATAATCATATGAATATCGCTGGAGAAGAACTGGTGGACTTAGTCTCACCCCCGGGGTACTTTTGCTGTGACTATCGGTAGATTACCACTAGAAACATTTTCTACCTCTTGCTGTAAATGGATATTGTTACATGATTCTAGAGGCAGCTCAACTAATAAGTCATGGTGTTAACACAGCCCGATCCTGGAATTTTATATTATTTGTAGTATTCTTCTAGAATTTTTTTGTTACTGATTCTTTGGAAAGTTGGGAGGAACAAAATCCATACATATAACTAATTCAGGGAAAGATCTCTTACTTTCATTTGTTAACCGTCTTCATTATCTGCTGTTGTCTTACAAATGACTTTTTTTTGACAGTGTGACACAAGAATTTGCTTGTTTGTTTATCTTCTTTTTCTGGTTATATGTTACTCTGACAATACATATATTATATTATATTATCTAAATATGAATGACTACAGGCATCTATGTTGGAGATGACAAAGTTATACATTTCACTAGACGTGGCCAAGAAGTAGGAACAGGAACTGTGTTAGACGTGATTCTAGTAAGCTCTGGACCATCTCGACCTCGTGTACCTTGTGCCACGTGTACCCCACCTGAAGACGGTCATGGGGTTGTGTCCTCATGTTTGAATTGTTTCCTTGCTGGTGGAATTCTGTATCGCTTTGAGTATGCAGTTAGCCCTGCTCTTTTTCTGGCGAAAGCACGCGGAGGGACTTGTACTCTTGCCGTCTCGGATGCTGATGACCTTGTCGTCCATCGAGCAAAATACCTGCTTGACAATGGATTTGGTTGCTATAATGTATTTAAAAACAATTGTGAGGACTTTGCAATTTACTGCAAGACGGGAATGCTCGTGCTTGACCAAAGTACACTGGGACAAAGTGGACAAGCTGTATCGATTATAGGTGGCCCTCTTGCTGCCGTTTTGTCTACACCACTACGTCTCGTGACCACCAATGTTTATGGAATGGCAGCAACTGCTATTGGAGTTTATTGTGCCAGCCGATATGCAGCTGATATTGGCATGAGGAAGGATGTGGTTAAAGTACCGGTTGAGGATCTTACGAGGAGGCTTGCCACGGGTTTGCTTCAGGTCGTTGAACCGACTCTTCCAACTTTTCCATCTCCGAACAGCTAGTGTCCAAAGTTGATTTCAAACCATGTGTGTAAACTGAATGTTGAGTTTACATGGCTGTGCTATTTATCCATTGAGCAGTAAGATGTGTGCTCTTATTTGTTGTTGCGTACGATGATACATCAACTTGTGCACTTTTATGTTGCGTACAATAATGAATTGATATATGGTTTTTTATGTTGTGATGGGTGGATTTGTGATCTTTCATGCCTCGGACTTGCAATGCTTCACTTCTTGAAAGTTGATACATGAGAAATTCTTCCATTTTGCACATCAATGAAACAAAGAGCATATTAATACGATTTTTGAGAGAAAAAAATGTGGACTAGTAAAATGTAGAGTTCTATAATTGCACTGTTCGAAAAGTCACATCAAACAATTTTTACTACTATATAAAAAGGGGAATGTTTTATTACTGTAGAAAGAACAATAGATTATTCCATTGTGTCATACTGTAGCTTTTTTTTTTTTTTTTTTTAAAATTTATGGAGAGAAAGAAACGACGTCGTTTATCTTACGTGTTTGATACAGTGACTTTGTTGCTTTTCCTCAATTTCAACGGCGTGGAGGATTATGTCATAGAGCCCTATTTACTCTTTCTCCATTTTTACACGCTACAGTCATGCCTCTCTATTTCTCCACATTATCTCTTTCACCATTTTCTCGCGCTATCAACCATGTATTTTTAGAAAGTTTATTTTTGAGCACATAATTAAGTTTAAATAAAAAAATTATTTTTATATATGTACATAAAAGGTATATAGTAACCATTTGGTTGACCAAAAAATAATATCAATCAAAATGTTTACAAACCGTTTAAATAATAATTTATTGAGGGGGTTAATTCAAGAGCAAAAGTGTGAATTCCATAAATATATGATTGAAAATATGTTTGAAGAAAAATAAATTTTAAAAAATGAAGACCAAACATGTTAACAAATGAATATATTTATTTTTCGGGAAATGAGTTTTTATTACCATTTCATTTTTATCATGAACTGATTCTAATCTTAATATGTTAGATTGTGCTTCAAAATTATATAATCTATCAAATATAATTTTTAACTAGAATATGTGTGTATTCTATGTGTGCTTTCACTCGCATGTGTTTTGGAGAATGCAAAGAGATGATTGTAAGCAGTTGATACACAATTTTCTCCTTCGAATTTGTTTATCTATATCTTGTTTCCAGTTTATTTAATGGTTATGGTACTAGATAGTTGACTTGGGATGCAACTGTTTGATTGCTGAGTTTATTTTATTTTATTTGTACAGGTTGGGGCAAAAGATAAAAACATGGGGCTTGTTCACATTGGTAATAAGATTATCTCTTTAGTTCTTTCTATTTTTTCATAAATTTTTAGGATAGACATTCATGGCGGCCAAGAAATTCAAGCAATCATTACTTTGTTACTATTCTACCTTTAATTTCTATAAGGAATTCTGCCTTCTAACTTCATTAATT